CACATTTCTTCAAGACAATGGCTGGTATCCCATCTCCACCACTAGCCTTGTGGGGGTCTAAATTAGAGATAATGCCCAATACCAATGACGGGTTTATGTGCAAGTCGCTCAATAGGGCGTCAATTCGAAGAGGGAAATCGAGTATGAGTACACCGGAAGAGTCGAACGTTGAATTGAAAGAAAATTTCCGTGGAAAGTATTCAGCCTTGTCGGCAGAGAAGGTCAGGACCTCAAACTGGTTGAACAAAGGAAGTATAGAGGGTTTGCTACTGTTTAATACGCTCTTGCTAAGACACCAATAATCCTTGGAGCTGAAATTGCGAGAAGCGATACGTTCCTTCATTCGAGCAGCAAATAGTGACAGCTTCGTTGAGGACATGCTTACACTCGTTACGAGCAGAGGCAAAGAGACGTCTATTGCAGTCGGACATATCGCTGCGATAGACGTGGAAGAATTGGTTCCTATGGGCAATGGCGGCTGAGCAAGCAGCAGAAAACCAGGGGGAGGAGCGCGATTTGACCTTAAATTTCCTTGAGGGGATGAAAGCGTCGATTCCAGCTTTGACCCAGGAGGCGACCTCAGAAGCACATTCTTGAACGGGGAGCGTAAAGATAACATCCTAGGGGACATCGTGGAGGAAATTACGGAACGAGTCCCAGTCAGCTCGTTGATAGCAGAACGAGGTTCTAGAGGTAGGAGGTTCTTTGCAGGGGGGTGGAGTTAAAGGAGATGTTGACCAACACTGCGGCGTGATCGGAGTTACCGAGCGGGCAGAGCTACGAGGCACTACAAGACTCGGGGATGGGGGTAAAACACAGATCCAGCAGAGAAGCCTTACCGTCCGGTTGTAGGCAAAACGTGTGGGGAAGTCAACTATCTGCGTGAGGGATTGAGAGACTGAAAAATTATTTGAGTGACTGCGTGGTCAGTGGTAGCATTAAGCCACTTGGTATGATGGGCGTTAAAGTCGCCAAACACCAATATGTGAGCAAACGGATGGAGAAAGAGAGCCTTGTCTATGCTGTCAGAAATGCTATCGATTATTCCGCAGTCTTGAGAGGATGGAGAGCGATAAAGGAAGAAGAGATAGCTTACAGCATTGAGAAGAGAAAGCCGGAGACACAAGAGATGGTCCTTGACGTAAACACCAAGGCCGTGCATGTGGGTTTGAGAGTCTTTTCTAAAGGGAGGGAGGTAGCCGTGAACCGAGAGATCAGAAGAGGGAATAGACGGGTCAAGATTGGCCTCACACAGGGCCAGGATATCCGGGCAGTTTGCAGTGAGGAAGGATTCCACGCTGCAGATATTGGTTCTAATGTCACGGATGCTGGAGAATGAAATGCTGAAGGGTTTAAGTGATTTTTGAAGGGCTGGTTTAGGTTTACTTTTTCGATCTTTGTAAGTCATCGTGTGGAATTCTGGTTGGAAGATGAGAAGGCCTGAAGTAGAAGTAGGAGACGGTTATCAACCGTGGCGCGGGCAGAGAGAAGTTGGCAAAGCCTGCATCATAATGTGGCCTCATGGTTGCCCACCGGAGGTGACTGCAGGGACACCTTTCCATGCGCTACATGGCACTACAGACACCCCGGTATTATACAACTGTTGATCAGAGCGGCTGCTCAAGACGCTACGCAAGAGTTAGGGCTCCTAATTACCAGTCGGAAACAGCAACCAGGAAACTGTCAACCGTCTACCCTCAGAATGAAGACGTAAGGAGAGAGAGAGAGAGAGAGAGTTCCAGGAACCCCTTCCTAAGCAAGAAACAAGGTGTGAGCCTCTAAACTTGTCCAAGGGAAGGGGGAGGAGTAATGATAGGGCTGTAGGAGAGCCTGAAAAGTAACTCCCTATTTTATATATGAGTAACCAGCCAGGAGTCCTGACTTAACATCCTATGACTTTTTCTTTGGGGTTGGTTAAAGAAGCAAGTCTACTGTAACAAACTAAGACAATGGAAGAACTTGAAGGGCGAATACATGAAGTTATGGCTTTCATACCACAAGAATTCCTGGTGAAGTCAACTGACACGATTCCTGGGCGGCTCGAGAAGCTGGTAGCGAAATCTGGTGCCCATGTCGAATTTTAAGTAAAACCTCATGCTAAACACTTTCCTCTCATATCCGTTTCTTGTAAAACATTATAGTTAATAAATAAATTATAACTATTGGGCTGTTACCTTACCTGTATATTGATAAAAGACCTAAATACACAAGATAAAACCCCGAACAAGGACAGCAATAAGAAAAAGAAAAAGACCAAGAGACAATTAGCTCGACAGCAAAAAAAAAAAAAAAAGAAAAAAAAAAAGCTTGGCAACGTTGAAAGGTTGGCCCTAGTTATAACCCAAGTTTAACGCTCATTCGATCTTCAGACGACTTGAATGCAAGTGAAAGAAAAGGGACCACATTCATATATATATATATTCATATATACATATATTCATATATATATATATATATATATATATATATATATATATATAAAGATAGATAGATAAATATA